CTGAGATGATGATAGTATGAAGTGACTTGACAGCTACTCTTAAACCTCTAAAGGTACCAACTGTAACGACAGCATAAGATCCTCTTCCTAACTCCTCCTTTGTCAAAGTCACCTCATCTTTATTAATAACCCAGTGATCATCAGTAAGTGCTTGTTGCTGGTACCTACAAACTGCCTCTTGAGACTGACGTAGCTCCCTATCCTTCTCAAGTATCGCAATATCCTTCTGTTGTAATGTCTCTTCTTTCTCCTGTAGCTCCCTATCCTTCTCCTGCAGTACCACCTGATGCTCCCTATCCTTCTCTTGTAGCTGATGACGATATCTTCTTATTTCTTGATCTTTCTCTGCTTCTTCTCTTTCCTTCTGCTCCGCTTCTCTCTCCTTCACTTCAAGACTCTTCATAAGAGCTTGTACGGTTTGCTCAATATCGGCTGTATCTCCTTTTCTTGGTTTCTGGTACTCCTCCAACCATATTCTTCTTCCTGTCTGTAGTTGCTGCTGATACTTTTTCTTGTATTCTTCATTATTCATACCATTGGTATCTAATGTATCACCTACTGTCCACTCTCCTTTACTGTTAGTAACTAAAATACAATATTAATAATAATTTTCAACATAAAGTAAAAGTACAATAATTATAATTAGGTAATTAATAGTATTCATTGGTGGGTGTGGCTAATACACTGACCTATTTCAGTTAACATAACAATGTTAGGATTAGTGACAAATGTCCCTCTCCGAATAACTCCTCCAGCAGTTATTATCCAGACACAATGAGGACTCATAATGAACACTGAGAGAGAATGAGACCTTCTCTTACTAACAGAGTGAGGTACATCTAGCTGATAATAGAAATGATTTTAAAATTTATATTATGTATCTCACTGTACAGATCAATTATTATTATTTATTTATTAATAATAGCTAACATACCTTTATCCAGGAATGTTGAGTGATGTTAAAGATCCAACAATCATCTAATGCATCGGTGCTGTTATCCCTCCCACCACTTATCACTAGCATAGGACAGCCTGATCCAGTTATAATAATAGCACCTGCATGACGGTTTCTACCCACAGGCCATTGGTCTATTGCTTCAGGTTTCTTTATACACTGCCAGAACTAAAAATTAAATAACCACACCCATTAACAATGCATGATGAGTGTGTATGTGTGTGTGCATACCGTAATTTTGGAAATTTCCAATTAGAAAATAAATTGGATATATAATTAATTTTCAATAATTTTAATTTTCGGATAGCCATCTTGTTCCGAAATCAAGTTTAATTCTAATATTAAGCAGTAACAGTGAATGACTTTGAAGAGACATCAAGGAGCTCAATGGTAGACCAAGAGAGAGTGAGCATGAGAGAGAAAGGAGTAGAGGGCACAGAGCAGTGCTGAAAACAGCTAAAGTCAAGCCACATGTAGTGCTGGGCGATATATCAAAACTCACGATATTTAATCGATATAATGCGGAATCGATACATATCAATATTGAAAAAAATTAAAGAAAATATTGATAACAAGGCCACGCCCACAAAATGGTTACATAACCTTAATAAATAGTTAATTAACTATAGGAGTAACATCTCGAAAATTATTAAAATGTATTTTCTTGGAAAGTAGATGAAGTAGCTGAAGTATATGAAGCCAAAGAAGGTTTTTATAATGCTTTTCAATAATAATTGTTCTCAGAAATAGCTTTATTTAGCCATTTTAGTAACATTAAAGTTAATGGGTGTGGCTTAATAACTTATCGATAAAAAATATCGATATCCTCATTTTTAGGTAATATTGTATCATATCGTATCGTTTCAAAATTTTCAATATCGCCCAGCACT